CACTGAGCCCGGGGCTGCTCATACTGTAACGCGCAGGCCCAACCTGAAACATGTCACGAGTCCTAAATCCTCCTTGATGGTCACAACCCTGATTGGCAGCTTCCTAATTAATCTGAGCAGAATTGAGCCAAATGGCCTCTGCTAAATTGATAGATGCTTTTGTGGTCTTATTTCTGCTACCTTTTTCCTTATCACTTTCTGTAGACTCTTTCCCACTATCTTGCACAAATCGTATTAAAAATATATTTGTAAATTTAGGCAGTTTACTTTTGATGTCTGGCTGTTGTGAAAAATATTACCCAGTTAAATGTTGCTACTGACTAAAGTTAGCCTCTATAGTTTTTATTTTGCGTATCAAAAAAGCTTGTGGTTTATTTATACTAGCATATTTTCAAAATACTACCTGCAAATATTTTAACTGCTTAACTACTATACATGTAACATGAAAAGAGAATTATATTTTTGAAACCAACACCTGACTTGAATTACACTGGTTTGATATTTGGTCGCTGAATAGTGAAGAATTAGTGAGAAAGGGAACAGGTTTTCAAATGAAACAATTTTGAAGAAAATTATGTACATTTAGTTTCTGTGCATATTTCTCTTCTTCCGCCCCATTAATATAAAAAGATCCGATGATTCATCATTAGTAGGGTGGATTCCGAAACTCAACCATGCTGTCTGAGAACACAACTGAGATGGCTAAAGGTACTTCCTACAGGGAAGAGAGATTGGATGAATTGTTACCCAGAGCACACACAGTATAGTTCCAATTATAGAGTGACTTTGGGAACAGGGGGCTTGCCTGCCGTTGATTGATGTCATGAAGTGTAGGGAGACTTGGAAGGCTAGGAACATTTTAATTTTTCTTCTCTTTCCACCCTTAGCCATGGTTAAGTATAGAGCAAAGATATGGTTTGAGGAATGAGTTGTAGTAAGCGAAGAAAGGGAGGCAAGAGCACAATGAATTGATCAAATTCAACTGAACAAGCAGCAGTTCCCAAATGACATATCATGGTGCAGAACTTGATCATAACCCCATTTTATCCAAATTGTACACATTCCAACTGCCAGTGGTATTCGTCTGGATTTCGGTAAGATCAATGATTGAGGCAAGAGAACCACAAGTGAATATTGGGCATCCCTGTTCTTCACGAGTTCACTTAAATCAGGCCATTATTACACTAGGATTTAAAGTTAATGCACATTGATCTGCTGGCTGCTAACACCATATTAATGTAGGATAAGTCCCATTTCAAACTTTGGAGGAGGGTGGCAGAAAGCATAATCAAAGAGGAAAGTCTTTGAGACGGTACTTCAAGGAAGCAAGGGAGGGGCGAGACGTAAGGATTCTGAGATGAAGTTCCAGAGGGTTGGGGCAGAAAAGCTGAAGGCCCGACCACAAATGGCGGAATGGGCCAAGCGGGGGACGTGAAGCAGGCCAGTGCCCGCTGAGCGGAGGGACCAGACTGGTTGGTATGGTGTTAATGGAGGTAGGGAGGAGCAAGATCATGGTGGGCTTTAAAGTTGAGTACAAGAATTTTAAACTCAATCCTCTGAGGGATGGGGAGCCAGTGAAGCCAGGCAATGATGGGGGTGATCAGTTTATAGAGTTTGGTGCGGGGAGGGGGGCACACAAGCTGTTGAGTTCTGAATGATCTGCAGCTTGAAGAGGGAAGAGTTGGAAAGTCCGGCGAGCAGGAAGTTAGCATGGTCGAGCAAATAGCAAACATTATGGTTGAAGATAAACAAACTACAATGATTATTACAATAGAAATCAATTAAGCATTCTCCTTTGCAAAACAACTTTGCAAAATATGGCTTGTTTCCAACTCACTGATGTCTGCAATTGCTGCAGAGCTTTTGTTGCCTGAACACCAAGCGCTTATGTCTCCAGTTACTATCGTCTTTAGTTCCTTGATGTCTGTTCTTTCTGGGATGGCCTCCCTTTCTTCTGGTTCCCTGAGATCTACCCACGTGTATTTTACTGCAGGAGTTACAGGATAGTGATCAAGAAGAGGAACTCCAGATGATCTTGGTTTTTCGTTCTCTTCTCTTTCGTTTCTAGGCTGATGCATGCTCCTGCTCCTAGCTTGGCTAAAATCAGCATATGCTTCACAGGACTGAATGTGGAGCTCCTTTGTCTGTACAACCCGGTTTCATGTCGAGCAATGATTTTATCAACTGAGCAATCGGGCAGTTAGATTCATATTAAAATGTAACCTTTGAAGAAACTGATCAGGAAGGTGTGTTGGTGCTTAGATGAATGACATAGTGAAATAAAATAATAATCTTCACATTTGATATACCATCTATAAGTTCAAGAACAGTTTCTACAAATTGCAGTGACTATTTATAGGCAAACATAGCAGCGGATTTGCGCACAGAAGTGTCCCTCAAACATCCATGAAGTGAATCACCACTTTTATCAAAGGATTGTTGACCGGGACACCGACAGAAACTGCTTTCACTTTTCAAACAATGTCATGAGATCTCTTAACATCAACCTGAACAGGCAGACAAGACCGCAGTTTAATATCTAATTTAAAAGATGGCACCACTGACAATGCAGCAACCCCACCCTCCACCCCTAGCGCAAAGACCCAATGTGGGCTTTGCCGCACAAGCGTCTGACCAATAGATGAAAGTGCTACAAACTTGAGCCAGGCTGCTTTTTGGGTTAAAAACACTTAAGTAATATTAGGCCTTCAAAGTCTTATCAGGAAAGATAAGGACAGTTGGAACTAAAGCCTAGAAAATCAAATGGGAGTAGTCCCTGAGGTATTGACCTATCATCTGATCAGGGAAAAGTAATTGAAATCTTATAAAGCCCCTTGAATGTTTACCTCCCCACGAGGTAAACCTGTTCATGGATTAAGTAGAATAACAGTAAATATATTTACCAACAGTTAAACCAAGTCCTTTTCCGTAAGTTTAGATTTTTGCTGGAATGTTTTATTGGTCCCTGAAGATACAATAGCTTAATACCGTTCATATCAGTAGAGATGGTTGAATAAACTTGTTTGCCTCATTTGCATACTTCAGGTGCAAGAACAGAGACTAATTTCCAACTGTGCTCAGTCTCCAGAGCTACCTCGACTAAAGCTCCAAAAATAGTGCATTTTAATAATTTTTATTTAAACGTCTGTCGCTGTAAGCAAGTCTTAACATAGTTTGTTTGTCTATTTGTGGCACTCATGAGTTGTTTGATCCCACTCATTATAATAGTCATTATAAACTGGCTATCTGATATTTGGGGTAATGATTAATTTTTGTGTTCAAAATATGCCATGTTGTCAGAGTGTGGAGCAAGAAATCAGTGTTCGATTCAACACTTAATGTTGAATGTCAGGCCTATGGTGGCAGTAGGGATGGTTTAAATGTCCCTGGGTTAGGGGAAGTTTAAAAAATGTTCATCCTATGAGCCAGTGACCTCAAGAGTGAGTAATTGAATTTCTATGTGTATGTTGTGTGTGTTTTGTGATCCATTTCTACTTTGAAAAACACATTTTGCCGATGGTAGTTTCCATTGAGCTTCAAGTGTTCCTTTTGACGGATCCAAACATTTTTTTAAACATTGGAGCATCATTTAAACACAGATCAATTGTTATCAAGGCGGTGCTGTGGTTCTTTTAGATTGGTCTTATTGCAGGAAAACATCATTTTGTCTTTTAGAGGCTCCAGAGTGACTGATTATGATTGAATTTTGGGCCGAAGAGCCTATACTGCATCTGTGACAACAATTGTCACATAATCAGTAGTCAGCACAGAATCCTAGGATTGAATGTCTATTTGGTGTTTATGGATCAGCTGCGAAAGATGCAACGCAATTGAAGAGTTACACCATGACAATGTGTCTGATCATCACTCAGTATTTCTTAATGAACATTGACTCAGCTAAGATACAGAAGATGACTGGGTAGGATTGATGAGTCTTGTCAAGGGAATCACCAAATGAAGTCTGGATTGAGAGATTGTTGATGGGTGGTAGGCAACTGCACAGGCAAACACCCACCATGCTCACCAAACTACATTATTATATTGCAAACTACTCTCGTACCATTGTAGGGTAATGTCAAGATGCACTAAGCAACTGTAAACTATAGTGTATTGTGTTCTTTCTCTAAATGCAGCAATCCAAGATAATGATTTGATTGCTGTGTTTATTGCTGAGGGTTGCTGTATTTAAGCCAAAAATGAAACTCCTCCAGGAACGTTTCATTCATCCCCCAAATCAAATGTATTTAGAACATAAGATCTGAAGTCTTCTCTCCTCTCTTTCTGCTCCTTTCTTTTCCAATGTGAAATTGTACAGAATATCCCTGTGGGAATTTGAATCCCATTTGTAGCAGTCAAGCCACACTTGATAATTTTGATACTTTTGATCCTTGATATCCAGCCACCTGAGATACTTTAGTTTGGTACTCTCGTTTGTTAGTGTAAAATGAGGCAGCAAAAATCTGTTTCCAAATGAACAGTTCACCTTTACATTGCAATAACTCCTCTCGTTTCTTTTTGGGAAAGTATTTTTTTTAGTGGCAACTTTTTAAATCAAACTGGTTGGTTTGAAGAGCTCGCTCTGCGGAAACGTGTTTTTTTTAATCACAGATATTGATCAGGTCATTGAAATATTTTCTGCATAAATATAAAAAATATACTTCACACCAAATCTGTGAAAGTTGGGGCAGAACATTGATCCCAAGTTTGAGGACACTTTTATCAGAAACCTTGGTTTTGCTCCTCCACAAGTGATGGTACCCTATGTAAAGGACAGTTCAGTTGCTTAACTGAATGACCAATGGATAGGACACAATTTACTCTCTCTTGTTTTCTCTTGCTTGACCTATGATGTATTAAAAAATAAACAAGTACTTGTATCCCACTTAAGGGAAACGGCTGCAACTAGACAGCTTGTGTACTCCTTGATCTTCATCCTTCACTGGATGAATGCCAGATTACATGGCACC